GTTAACTCCGATTTATTCCTGAATTGGATGCAATTGCAGATTGTTTGTGGATTGCATGTAACAAAAACTTCACTGATTTATCGCATTCTGCCTCTGAATATACCCATGCTGATATACAAACAAACCCACACCTTCAACAGTGTGAGACTCACTGTCGGTCACTAGAAAAGTGGGATTGCGCGCCGTCCTTATTTTCACTTTTTTAAAAATAGTTCCATTGCCTGAAATAGTTCCAAAATAGTTCCAATTGTCAGCCTGACAGTGATTCCGGTGTTCGATCCCTTGTTTAACGCTTCTTTGAACGTTCTGTCAAAGCTTGCAAACGAGGAAGAAGAGTTACTTAGCAACTCATTAAAGATAAAATTTGTGCAAAGTCCAATTATTTACACGTACCAGTCCTTTTTTTTCAGGCCTCTGCTGCAATGCCTTTGCGCTTGCTGTCAATGCATGATGCAGATGTGCTGCGGGGGCGGCGGTTTTGGCGGAGGTGGACCACCAGCGCCTCCTCCTCCACCTCCCCCGCCACCTCCCCCACCGCCTATGCCGATGCCACAGCCGGTGTACATCCTCAAGCCGATGCCGATGCCAATGCCAGAACCCGCACCTGCACCGCTTCCACCCCCTCCACCTCCGCCACCGCCTCCGCCTCCACCGCCGCCCCCAGCACCACCTGCGCCGATCCCAGCTCCTGGGCCAGGTTGCTATGGAGCTGAATGTGGTGCGTACGCTACTGGAGGTGGTGGAGCTGTCGCTGTTCCGGCTCCAGATTATTTAGCTGGTTCTGGAGGCGTTGGTGGTGGCGGTTTTGCAGGTGGTGGTTATGGAGCTGGTGGTGCTTATGCTACCGGCCCAGTTCAGAAGCGTATGAAAATGAAAGCAGCATTCATGGCGAAGGCGCGAAAAACCTTCAAGGCGGTTCAACGACGAGTGAAAGCTGCAGCATAAAAAGCGAAAATTTTAAATACTGAGAAACATTTTTTATAGTTTATCGTCCGCTGAAATGTCTTAAAAGTAGTTACCTAGGCAATTCGAGCACCATCCTTAGAATTCCTCGTGTGATAATAATAAATAATTATGCATTACGCAGTCAAACGAATAAAATATTAAACTGCCACTTATTTTTCAAGAAAAGTAATACACAGCAGTAAGCTTTGAAAATAAGGTG